GGGCACTGATGGGGCACCAACCCTGGAAATGTTCAAAAACCATGGATGTGGTAGCTGGGGATTGGMATTCACTGGACTTTAAAGGTTCTTCCCTATCAAACCACTCTTAAATTCATGAATTTTAAATATAAAGATACTTCCTCAACCAAAAGCTCCAAAAAAAAATTGCAACCTTTGAACAGACAGTGGGAAGAGATAAACTGCTGAACTGCAATCCATGCACGAGCAGGAGTTTTTGCCTTAAGAGAAGCAGATCTTCAACCCCAGTCTCCAATCAGGGGACAACTGATGGGACATCCTGGGGGTGTGCAGAACATTTGAGACCCTCCAGCTGCTAAATCCAAACAAAAAACACAACCCTGGGGAAAAAAATCAGGACCTGGCAAAGCCTGGGTCCTGCCCCAGGAACTGCTGGGAGCAAAGGAGACACTGCAGGGATGGGGGAGGATGTGACAGTGTGGGTGTCACACACACACAACAGCAGAAACCTGACGTGCACAAACAGCTGAGGATCTCAGGGATATAAATACACACGTGTGTGTGTCTGTCTGTGTATTTATAGATCCAGAGATGTGGCTCCAGTCTGCACTGGCACAGTCTGACGCTGTTTCACGCGAGCACAGACAGAATTCGAGGCGCCCAGATCATCTGAGTGCTGGAAAATAYAGATGGAATGATCCCACGGGAAGCCCCCGGATGAGAGCGTGGATTTTTCCTGGGATTTGCTGGATCCCAACCCACCCAAGCACCAACACCACCTGCACGAGCTCCAASCATTTTTGGGCTGTGATTCCAGTAGGGAACACACTGGAGTCACTTCACAATCCCACCCTGCTCTGAGCACTCAAGATTCACTCCTCTGTTTCCATTTTTAAACTTGTTTTTTTTTCCCCTTGTAAATCAAAGTTCTGATCAGAACTTTTTGCAAATAACATGCAAAATGTTCACATTTCACGTGGGTGAAATACTTTTTTTGAGGGAATAACAGAGCTGTACCAAAGCAGCAGACGGCACCTCAGCACTGCAGGCAGGACTGCATTTCTTGGAGAATTTTGTGTATTTAGAGGCCACAAATTTATTTCTCATTTAGCTGCAAGGTGTTTTGTGCTCTGGGGCAGAGGTTTTCAGCTGAATGTGTCTCCAGACAAACACAGCAGGAAATTTTTCCCAGCCCGAGGCAAAGACCATGCCTGGAAAACACCAACCTTTCCATCCCCCTCCCACTGGAATTCAGGGAGAAACAGTTTTTGCAGGTCCCACCTGACAAAAACTTTTAACATTAATTATATTCAAAAATTTACAGTGTTTCGAGTATAAAACAGGGATTTTATTGAYTTAAAGAAATAACTGCAGCACGGCAAGGAGCTTTCATAAGCTGCACTGCAATGAGCTACAAACTCAGCCTGAATTAACCTCGTTTCACTTGTCTCCAGCAAACCTCRTCCCATTAGAGATGTCCCAGCTAACATCTGCAAGTTGGCAAGGAGAGAAATAAATTTTTTACCCTCATCTACATCAACTCAGCCACACACCTAAATATAGCCATGTCACCCCAGAGCGCTGCAGCTGCCAAAAAAAAAAAAAAAAAAAAAAATCTGGCAGGCAGGAAAACGTAAATCCAAACTTTTCCCAAGGGAGGGTGGAATGCAGTCTGTGCCCCAACAAACCTTTAAAACATTTTTTTCTGCTGGACAGCACCAGGCAGTGAGTTTAAGGCATCTTCAAGCAAAAAAAAAACCAAACTCAAAACCCTCTAGGTCTGCCCTGCTCAAGGCTTGAGGTGAAATCTCAAAGTGCTCGCTGGATGTTTAATTTCTCTTTCAACAGTGGTCTCAAATAGGAGAAAAAATAAATTAAAAAAGAAATTAAAATCACAAAAATATATTAAATTCGCATCAACAATCCTGCAAATGGACAGAGATTAAACAGGTAAAGCCATTCCTGTGTCAAGCCTGGGGTGTTATAAATCAGGGTGAGAGTGCTAAAGATCTCAAAATGAAATTAAAAGAAAAATACCTCAACAGCAGCATCACCTGACACTAAATCAGTTGTGTGCTCAATCTGAAATCCCTGCAGCAGCAGCTGACAAGCAAGATGAGAAGAAATTGAATTGGGATTCAGAGATAGTGTCCTTTTTGTGTGCTTGGGATTCTGTGACCCCACTGATTTTGCTCAAGAAAACAAAATGAGATGAGATGGCGATGAMAAAAATGAAAAATTCTGATTTTTCCTTTTCACCTCCTGAACCTTCATCCCCATCACCTACAACACGAAGCTGCATTAGTGAATTAAAGCTCACTGAGATGAGACATTTTTCAGGAATTCCTCTTTGGGGAATGAGCCCAAATAGAAGCTGTTGAAATTAAAAAAAAAAATAAATATCTGTACTTCTCAGAAATCTTATTCATTATTAACTGAGCRTTTCATAATACTGATGAGAATGTCAGAATTCAAATGCTTTAACTGTAAGATCACAAAAATATTTAACCTGAGTTAAATTTATCTTGATGTGCCTTTTGAGCTGCTCTTTGTTCCCTTCTCAAAAGAGTTTAAGTTGGAAACAAATCCATCTTGTTTTATTGTCATCAGCATCTATTCTGCTTAGCAGGCACTTAGGTGAATTTATTAACAAACCTATTTTTAACCCACAAACACATAAATTTGTACAAGGCAGCATCTTGATAAAAGCTTGGGAATCAGAGGAAAAAAAAACAGCAAAAAAAAATGGGAAAAGCCACAGGCCAGGGACTGCCAGAATTCTCCTTTGAGCATTGCTTGGATAAACTTTGGCAAGAAAAATCTGCTGGGTTTTGGTTTTTTTTTTTTGTTTTTTTTCAGGATTGCTAAGATTGATGAAGGTTTTTCCTTTATTCTGCTTCATTCCAGCAGCAAAACTTCTGAATTTACACCAGAGAGGCTGCGAGGTGCAGAGTTCCCCAGCAGCAGAAGCACAATTCTTTGACCAGCTCTCCTTTCAGTAGCAGATTTTTCGACATTAACAGTTGGCTGCTTTCACACAGAGAGAGCCAAAAAATCCTGGAAGCCATTCAGGGGTTACAGCCAGGTCAGGATTTTCAGCAGCCATCCTGTTTCACATGGAGAGGATTCCCAGAGAAAGGAAATTTGCTCCTACCTCTCCTCTTGGCTCATTCTTCTCCCTCATTCCCCATTGCATTTTTTTTTTACAAATAATATCTGAATTTTTCTGTAATTTTTCAGTCTAATTTTTCTATAATTACAATTCTAGATTGTATTTTTTTTTTTTATCCAGACTGATTTTCCCTTCACTGTAGAGGATCAAAAATTTCAAAGTTTTTTCTAACCCAAGGATGCATTTATTAAAGCATGAAATTGTCCCTGTGCTCTGCAGATCACAGACAGGACACTTTAATAATTGAAATTATGTAAGAGCTGACACACAAAYGGACAGGAATAACTCCAAGAGGCCAAGTCATCAGAGAAAACCTGACCGGTTAAAATTTGATTTTTACCTCCAGATTGGACACCACAGCATTCACTCTCCACTCACGTGGATAAGCTACTAAATGGTATTAATTGCTCTTAATGCAGTTAATTTATCACAYTTTGATTAATTTTAACAAATGAATGCTGTGTGTAATAGAGGCATGTAAAATGAGTTTAAAATACACAGAATTTCCCCCAGAGTGACTCTTGGGGTTAATCCTGTGCAGGGCCATGAGCTGGGCTTGGTGATCCTYGTGGTTCTTCTCCAACTCAGGATCTTCTGTGATCCTAAAAACATCTTCTGTGATTTTAAAAACATCTTAAACTCATCAAGATCATGCCGAAATAAGTAATTATGGTTAAGGGTGCAAGGATGGACTTCCCATCTCCATTAACTGCTTCCTGTCCTTTGCTAATTCTCAAACATTTTGCAAAGAGCACATTTTACCTTCCAGCTCACAGGGTACAGCTTTGGTGGTTTTAAAATATGGAATTTGGTGGTGATTCAGCAYTGTGAGATTTGGAGGCGATGCTCATGGCAGCTCAGGACTGTCAGGTGACAAAACATGGAGAGATCATCATCCCAAAACCATAACTTTCATCAGGATGAGTAAGAAATATATTAGAGCTGCCTCTTATCAAAATACACCTGCTTGGAGCTAATGGCTAACAGAATAAATTATTTATTTTGGAGAAATAGAGGGAATCATGATTCAGGGAACAGAAAATAGCCAGGGAAATGTTTAGTCTTTGTTCACAGAGAAAATTTTGCACAAAGCCACCAAATCTCCAACAGAGAGAGGCACCACGTGAAGCTGCTCTGACTGAAATCCCACAAAAGTGGTTCTCCTCCCAGAAAAAAAATCAGAGAGATACACAAGATCTGTACCCAAAAGCAAGGAATGATCCTGAAAGGGCAACCAGACCCTCCAGAAACCATGGAGGTGATGAAGCAAAGGAGAGAGCAGAGATGAGATAGGCTTTGCCTCCTACATGAGGACAATTCCAGGGAATTTCACCTTTCAAATCAAAGGTTTSCACCCCAAATCCCATCCCAGGGGGAGGGGAATGGCCAAACTGAGCACCCCAAATCCTGTGGGGAACAGCCTCYCCTTGCTCCCCTGACCCTACAGATAAAGGACACAGTGGAGGTGCAGAAAATCAAGATTTGTGGAAAAATTTCCTATTTTTTCGCTGCTGGAGAAGACCATTTTCCCTACAGTTCTTTACAGCTGTCACTTCAATCAATCAGAATAAAGGGTTGAAAATTTTATTGTCAAAATAAAGGGGGGGAAGAAGCTCTTGTTTTCCTTTTAATGACAACACTGGCAGGGGAAAGCTTTGCTTGGTGAAAACCTTGAAAAGTCCTTCCCTTTCCCCACATGAGAGCATTTTCACACAACTTTTCCATCTGGGCTACATTTACACAGCCTTGGGATCAGCCACCTTCTATTATTCCCAAAAATTTCCAAGGGAAAATCAAAGGAGCTCAAAGAGAGAACCTTCCTTGTGAAAAAAAAAGGGGATCAGATTTAAAAATTAATAATTAAAGATGTATTAAACAGAGAGCTAATGAGAGATGTGCTAACACAGGGGAGGGAGTGAGAGCAGAAAGACTCAATATCTCAACTGGGATGGAGCTGACACTTTTTTTTTTTT